TCAAGGTAACTAAAATGGAAAAACCACATAGTTTAGGGTACAATAGCAGAGATACTCATTTCTGTTCCCTGTCTCTCAATCCAAAATATTGGAAGCTGAATAAGGTCTAGCAACCTGTGTCTCCATCCAGAGATGACAATGCAGAAACTGCCTTTGCAAGGAAAACAGTATTGGCTTTCCCCTGTTTTTCCTACAGAGAGGCAGTGGATTTGATGGCTATTACCTGAAACCATCCCATAATGGTTTCGTTATCACTGGCTGTTGAGAACGTCGCAGTGTCATCAAATATCCAACCTTTGCCACAGAAACTTTTGATTTCCAAGGAGCAGCTGAAGAACAGAACTGTGAAAAAGTCCTGACATATATTAATATTATTGAACAAAAGGAAACAGGATAGGTAAAATGGATTTATAAATCTTGGACTGGAATTGAGTAAAAACTGAGAGTCCTTTAATTATTTTTGGGAAAGGTGTATTTCTGTAATATGGAAGTAAAACAAAATTTTAGAGGAATCATAGCAATGGTAGGTTAAACACATCAGAAAATATAAAGGTAATGTGTGCTCAGAGATGATAAGTCTTTAGATGGGTAGATTTGCTTTCAATTTAAAGGGAATCATGCTTATTTTTATCTGTGGAACATTTAATTCTCTCTCCTGGGTGGGACTGTGCCTTTACACCTACATAGACAAAGACTTTCAGAAATCTAATGTTATGTAATGAAAACTAATTGTAGCTTATCTATTACCATGAATTCAGTCGAAGTGTGAAAACAGTAGTCAAAAATAGTTCAAAATTGTGTTTATTTTAATAGAAGTTTGTAGTCAGAATTGAAAGTATGAGAGATTTAAAATTATGAAAAGGGAGATATGGTTAGAAATGGGTTAGAAAAGGCAAAGTAATGGTAGGACAGAGAGAGAAAAAAAAGATGTAATTGTCTTTTCGGGATTCATAATAATTCCAATCCAATGTGTAACTATAGTGCATTAATATTTTGAAGTGTTATTGTTTGGTCTTTTTCCCCCTTATGAAATTACCATGTGAACTTTATTCAGAGAAGCAAAACAAACCTCTCTCTGGATTCTTCATTTAGTTTATCTCTTGAGACTTATGAAAAAGTTATGCAGTCTACATGATTTAATTTGAATTAGTGAGTTTATGATACTGAGAATATTTACAATTTCTTCTTCTGTTATTTTCTACCATTGTCTGTACTGTCCTTGTCTTTGGATAAGAGTAAGATATTTCATACTTACTGTCTTACTTTATATAGCCTATATTATGCAGTTGCAGAATTAAATGTATTTCTTTAGTCTTTCCTGTATTGTCTTGCTGTATTTTTGAGTAAAATGTCAGCATACATCCAGTATACAGATGTGATTTAGGGTGTGTAGGTTTGTGCTTTAACATAAAGAACTGTAACTGAGAGGGAGCTACCTCATTAAAAAAGTTGAGAAGTGTGGGACAGGCTTTATATCTAAGTTGTGGCTTAATGCATTTAAAGAATATTAAGTAATACTGATTCTGTTCACATCTCAATGTAGTAAAATAGTCTCTTCATCTAAATCTTCTGCTAAAAATATTTGTACTCTTAGCTTTTCTGTCTACTCTTGTATATATGTATCCTTAGCATTGCAGAGTTAGAATGGTGTCAGGGGATATCTTTCCTGGGAGTTAAATGTATTATATCAGTCTTCAGGCCTCATCACATCCAGATTAATGACATGTAATTATGGAACATCCAGACTCTATGGAGCATTTCTGTCTTAGAGTCTCTTCCATGTTTTAAGATGATGCTTATTTGATTGTGCTATTGCATATCATATTTTGTGAAGGAAAAAAAGAAATGAGACTTTTCAAATCTGAGCTTCTATTTGCAGTGAAAGATCTTTGGTTCCTAGGAAGAGATAAAACTGAAATTAAGATAACTACTGAGAGAGAAAAAAAAAAAGAGTAACTAACTTACATCTCTCTGTCCTCTACTGCTATAAGAATTTTAGTTGGGTGTGTTTGCCATGTAAAGTTTTTTTGATCACTGAGTTCCTAAATACTTCTCTTCAATGGGTGACATTACTGGCAATGAACAGTTCTGTGGTAAAGCATGATAAAAGAGATGGTACTTATTTTGGGTGGGTTTCAGACTTAAAGTTTTCATTAAGTTTTTAGGTTTATTCATTGAGATTTTAATTTGTTTCTAAATCTGTATATAATAGCCTTGTGCATACTACTGTCATACATCGAGATTAACAATTGAGGCAAATAAATGCTACTTCCACAAAAAAGCAATAACTACAAATGGGGACTGCCTATTTACGTGATGTACATTTAATAAAATTGTTTTGACATTGTTTTATTCTTGCATTTAAATGTATTTCTATCAAAAAGGGTTTTTTTTAGATTAATGCTACAGAAACAAAGACTTTTCAAAATGTTGTTTGAGATTTATAGCATGGATTATGATTTATTAATCAGGAGAAAATTGGTTCACATAAGTTGTATTGTTTTTAAATTAATCGGTCTATTAGTACTTTTTTCTTCACATCATTATTTGAAAGAAGCTGGTGCGTTACCATGCCACAGCTTCTACTAATTCTTTAATATTTCCATCAATAAATACAAAAAATACTATAATCCATTTATCTCAACAGATGAGGTATCAGTTGATCAGGTATCCACAGAGAGATGGCAACTATTATCTTTTTTTCCCTCTGGCTTCTATTAGAATTTTTCTTCTAATATGTTTGAGCAGTAAAAACCTAAAAGTGAAAAATATGTGTAATTAAGAATGATTTTTGATTGCCACTTTTATGTGTAAATACATTTTTTTCTTAACAAATACTTTGCATGAGGACTTTTAAAAATGTTATTTTTAAAAAGTATTGTGATATGTGACAGATATGCATGCAAATACTGGTCATTTGATTCCAAAATATTCAAAGAGATCTTCCTTGCTATTCAGTTGTGTCTGTGTGGAATTACTAGAATACCTTGCATTATCATACCAGACATATTCCAGGTTTGGAAATAATGTGATTCAATACTTTGATAATTTATAGAGAGGGATTTCTCTTGCTGCAGTACATGTCTCAAAGCTGCTCGTTCTTATGGATACTAAAAATAATAAACCGAGGATAGTGGGGTCTTGATAGAAACTTTCTAATAACTGGTTTTGCTATAGTAGGAGTACTCACTTCAGGGCTATACATATGTAGTATAAAATATTTTCAGAACATTTGGAATACTTTTAACTGTGTTTTGGTGGTGCTAATAATGATTAATTTGTTTATTTAGCACTTTCAGCATTTATAGCTGATTATATATTATGTATAGCACAAATGCTATATAAAGCATATATTATATATAGCATTTATATTAATATGAGTGTAACATGACACAGAGGAGTAGATCTTTCTATTTGCTTCCATTTCTTCCAATAGATTCTTTGTACTTGCCCAGATACAAAAATATTTATACTCCATTATTGTTTTTTTTAACCTGCAAAGACATAGCAACCTTTGTCAAAACTGACAGCTGCTATGCTTTCACACTACGTATCTCATATATAGCACTAATGTGTGTTCATTCTGTAAGAAAATTTATTTGCCTAAAAATGCATTCTAATTATGTATGTTTCAAGCTGCTTGATTTTGCAACAGTTTTGGTACAGTCTTGGCATTTAATAGTAGATAAAAATAAAATCTAACACTCTAATATAAAATTGCTTACGTATAGAAGACAGTGGTTACCAGATAAAAGTTAATGTTGTCTTTAATTTTGTCTTATTGATTTATGTTGCTTATTCTCATTTTGCATTTTTTCAATGGTATCTTGATACTGACTATAAAATGCCGATAAAATTACGGATATTTTTGTGGTGTGTAGAACTTTCTGGACTTCTTTATCTAGTATTTTCAGCATTAATAATTTATGAGCAGTGTTTTGTGACTCATTAGCAAACTGCATGTTGAAATTAGACCATTTATAGATTTATTTTTTTTTCCTGTTTCTGGTGATTTTTGGGGGAAACCATTTGTTCTGCTAGCAACAGTGGCCTCACAGTTCTTTGTAATTATTGTTACTTTTCAAGATTAATTCCTCCCATTCTTTTGCTACAAATAGATTTTCAGTACATAGCATGGCACTGTCCCTCAGATGTTTTCCATGTCTAAAATGGCAGTGTGCTTTTGAATGTGAAGTAATAAAGTAAGTAATGAGATAGTGGCTTTGGCATTTAACTTGCATGCATTTGTAGTAAATTAGACTTCTGTGAGATGAGACCAACACTGCTTCTGGAAAAGTATTTGAATTGACCATGATAGCGAATAGCTATACATTCTCTTTTCTCATGTTCTGTATTTTGGTCTTGATAATTTTCCCTTTGGAAGAGCGTTACAATAATGCAGTTCTTTCCAGAGTGTGTTATGTGGATTCTGAAATGTCTGAGCTTGTACATACATTTGCAAAAAAAAAAAAAAAAATTTCTGGTTTGGGTATCTGAAGTTTGGTTCAGCATAAATTACAATAAATTGATAATTTAAAAATATGATAATAGAGGTCCCTTGGACATTAAACTGAGTGTTCAATGCTTGAAAGAGAAAAATAATATTTTCATTCAAGTAGATAACATTCAAAAAATTGAACAGTCATGAGCAGAAGTATTTATGCTAGTTAACATACCTTTTACTATCCAGCTTTTTCTTCAGCATCATTGCAAGGATTGACTTTGCTGTCAGTTATAACTTTTATTATTTCCTCAGCTCCTATACTAACCCTGTCTTTACTGTTCTTTTCCAACAACAGTAGTTTAACCACTTCTTTCTCAGCTTTCTTTTTTCTTCTAGTGTCTTTTATTTTTTTCTCCACTTACTAACTCTGCTCTGCAGACTTCTCTCTAAAACAATTTTTGGCCCTTTCCCTCAGTGTCAGTTTTAACCTTCTGAATACATCCTCTCACGCCCATCTCCTTTGTCTATGTCTGTACATTACACGATGTGATCACAGAAGAAGCGGAATCATCAAGGAGAACAAACTCAGGTCTGTCTCTTCTACTGCTTTTCTCTGTGTTATTTTTTTCATTTTACCTTTTCTATAGATTTTATCACAGCTCGCCTCACATACTTTTCCCTCTCTTCCCCCTCAGTATACTGGCAAAACATTGTCAAGGTGAAAGAATTTTAGTTTAGGACACTTACGTAATTTTTATTACCTATTAACTAGGTACTCTATAAAAAGTGATGAAAGGTAACTGATGACAAGGAATATATACCTTAAGAATTTTAACTGATTTGATTTCTATCATATCAGTTCTTATTTCCCATCTCAAATCTGAAAATTACCCTTTAAAGTTCCAGCTAACACGTGAAAACAATCTGTAATTTGGTTTATCTATGCATTTGAACACTGCTACAAAAACTGCAGAAACTTATATAATTAGTTCTTTTTAACTCTGGGAGGATATCACTTCAAAACGGAATAATTTCAGTAAGTTAAATTTCATGCACTGAAATTTCAAATTTATTTTTTTGAATAAAACCTGTTTCAATTAGAAGTAGGGTTTTTAGTGAACAAAAGCTATTTTCCCATGCCAAAAAGTATAAATCAAAATGTTATGATAGTACGGGAGCAAGAAGTCAAAAATTGAAGTTCTCACTTAGCTGCATTGTTTATGAGGCTTTTATTTCATACTGTACATTACTTACGGTTTCTTCCATAACAAATTTTAATCTGCCATTTTATTGAATTTTCCATGTACTTTATATTACTGGCAGAGAACTAACACCTATCAAGGTGTCCTAGCTCTGAAAATGGAGTATTTGTTCACACTTCCCTGTTTGTTCAGTAGTGGTATGTAGAACAGCAAAATTCCCCATATTGAAGTCAATTAAATTCAGCTATAAAATTTTAATTTTACAATTACTGTGTAAAAGCTTTAATTAGTTTCCTGTGACTCTGCTATTATTCCAACAAATTAGAGAAGCCACTTGGATGCCATTTAGGTCAGCAAATCTGGAGAAGTTTTGGGGTGCACTGACTGGTCCATTTAACTTAGGTGATATTTAGTGAAGCATTTTTGTCTTTACTCTGACTGGCTCCTTCAGAGCTCAGTTTCACCTTTTGTACTGGTCTTGTCCTAATTAGAGTCACAGATTATTTTCACAGAATCTTGCAGTTGTTACTTGCTGTGGTTTTCATGTTAAACAAATCTCAAAATAGAAATTGTTATAATTACAGGGTTAAAACAGTTAAGCATGGATAGGGAAGAAAATTGGCAGGGTTTCCTGAAATCCCTCTTTTGTAAATCATTGCTATAAGGAATTAATAACTTACGCTGGAGAAAGACTGAGTTTACTTACCTTGTGCTTATGATTAATTTCCAGTTCCTGTGCAGTGATTCTGAATCTTTTTTATTACAAAAATGAAGTTACAAGATTGGTTGACATTGCCTATCTGTTCATAATAAAAGATGTAGGCCTTTTTATTCAAAAACCTTCCTCTGAGTTATTGACTGAATCAAGATATTAAATCAGAATATGGAATCAGTCCATATCTCTCTTGGTGCAGGAAGAAATCAGACCTTAAAATGATCAGAAAAAAACATGTGTTTTCATCACCTGTGTTTCTTGAACATACATGAGTAGGTAATAGTGTTTATTATTATTTTTTTTTGACATTGCAATTCTGCAAAGCGCTACTTAGCTCATGGTGTTAAGTAAACCCCATGAGTTTATTACTTAGCCTGAGTTAAGTATTAGGCAGTGATGAATTTAATTGTCTAGCACACAAATGCAAAAGCATGGTCAGTTGTTATTACTGCCCCTAAACTCAGAAGAAAATAGTTTGTTGTGTGTATAGCAACATATTTTCAGATATATGTTTGGAACAGGTCCTCTTCCACATTTGCCTCGGTAACAATATAGATAACACTTTTCAGTACACTTGGAGCACAGCTAAAAAGCAAGGGTGACATTTCAAAGGCATACTTTAGAGCAAAGTGTTTTACCATTGTTTTAGAAATTGCTTTAAGAAGTGTGAACCTAGGATTATCCCTTTACAGGTTTTCTTAGGGAGTGGTTCTCACATAATTTATATATCATGGTTTATTTAACATGATACCAACTATTCATGTATTCCAGAGGATTTGCTGTTGATTTTAGGTGTTATTAGACCAAGAAGTTTTGTGAAAGCTAAATATCTGAATATGTTACCATTGTATTGATAGAAAAATGTTGCAATTTCCTCTCTCAGGATAATCTATAATTGTAAAAAATAAAATATTATTCCTTGAAAACATCTAGAATTTTTTATTGAAAAGTTTCATAAAAGTGTGTGTAAAGCTTTTGCTGTATATTTTGAACCCAAAGATAAATTCTGAAAGATAAGAAGCAAAAGTATTTTAATACAAATTTTGTTATGTGACAGCAGTAGAGCTTGATAGTATCCTTAATGATTAAACCCTGTTTAACCCTGTTAATCATTCACCTTGGGTGAAGGAGGAGCTTTGTGATACAGAGCTTTCACAAACCTGCTTTGAGATGCAGGGTTTTCATATTTTTCAAATTAATATGTTTTGTAGGTTTAGATCTTGTGAAGATTGTTGAGGAGATGTGTGCCTGTTCACATCCCCATGTATTCATTCAGGAGAGGTGGAAGTGAGCCCTTGTCTGCCCAGGAGCCTCAGTGAGAAGCTTTATTCTCATCTGTAGGATGAGTCAGACCAACCAGTTATCAACGTGCCAAAAATTACTGGCAATTGCACGTGATCCTGTGCCCTTCAGATGTATGAAATACAGAGAACATTCTTCAGAATTCCAAACTAGCTGACTCAAGTAACTGCCCAAGAAACCATCATCAAAACATTGGAAAGGTGGATCCATGCCAGAACAAAGGCAGTCAGGGCACATACAGCAGTAATTAATTCTAGATTGATTATTCCAGAATGAGAAGCGGTGGCGTAGTGATGCCCAGGCATTCTAAACCTTTTTAAGTGGATGGAAGTTTGAAGATAGTGGGGACTGTTCCATTTCTAAAGGGCCATGAAAGGCAGGAAAATAGATATTGAAGTCCTTTTTTGCAACCTCTGGCATAAAACTGTCATGTTAAGAGCACACAAAAGTTTGATTAGAATTTTTGTTAACTTTCAGAGTGAAATTCAAATAGAAAAGGGATTTGAAATATAATTTTTTGCTGTGCTTTATTATGAAGCTTCTTTGTAATAACATGATTGATGGAAATGAAGCCCACAAAAACTAGCAAACCCTACTGAAGATGAGTGACCAAATTAAAGAGCTCATAGACCTGGACAGTGGAGAGCCAAACAGTGAAAGGATGTGGCAAATCTACTGTAGGAGAAAACAAGGATAAAAAAATGGTGCAGACTGTTTCAGAAATCAACTTCAGTAGAAGACAAGGAGCACAGATTTTTAAATTCATTTTTATCTTACAGAACCATGTGAGGTTTTTCAAGTCTTCCAAGAGTGAATCTACTGTGATGTACTTACTCTTTATAAACAGAACATGACACCCCTCTGCTTTTGAGTTATTATTATAGTCAGTATTCTGTGACACACTTTCCTTTAAAGAACAAGATGATGCCTTGTTCTGTTTCCATTTTCCTTAACTGAAAAAACATTTCTGGGTAGAATTTGTAACATTTTAACACAAATATGATTAAATTCCTTGTGCATCTCTGAACACTTCTGTGATATTTAATTTTACATTAATCTTGTTTAAGATCTGATGCCTTAGACTGTGAAAGAGACATTTAATGCATCTAAATCTGTATTTGGTCAACAAAGCCCAAAGGGTAAACTCCAAATTCAGTCTAATTTTGTAAACTCTGAATTCAGTCTGTAGGTACTTAGCACAGTAATAGATGTATTATATTGGATGGCTGGGAGGCTCTTGGTCCTTAGTTTTTATTTTGTTCAGAATTAAATCCAGAAACCAAAGACTTCCAAAGTAGCCATCTGTACTAAACCACAAAAATAAAGGCTGATGATCAGTCTGCTGAAGCTAAAATAGTAAAAACATCAGATTATGTAATTTAAAATGACAGCGTAATTTTGCAAAATGTTTGGTAGTTTAATTTGCAACTATTCTGAGTTCTAAATGCAGGTGATGATTTTGTATTCTTTGGTTAAAACTTTGACCACCTTTCTAGTTATTCAGATGCTAATGAAGATCTTTTGCATTCTTCAGATGGCTGAAGAATCTCTATTAATACCTGTTAGCTTTTCTGAAAGCAGAGGCATAATTATTATCAAGTGTTTATACCCATGATTGGAAGTGGCTGTATCAGAATGTGAAATTCTCTGTGATTATACTGTGGAGTGTACCAGTGGTGGGAACTCTGACAAGCATGATGAGAAACAGGATGTTGGAAAGCTTCATAATAAGACTGTGCTCAGGTTTTCCTGAAAACAAAGTAGCGTTTATAGTGTTTAGGCTGATCTGAATGGATTTTTATGAGTATGGAATATAAGGGCCCAGTGACCACTCAGATATTTTTCTTTTACGCTTTCAAAACCCTATTTCATGTCATTTGTATAGGGAGGAAGTGCCACAACTCTTGAGAGAAGCAAAATGGGATGTTTGAGCTAATATTTGACTTACTACTTCTTTCTTCCATGCTTTTTACGTGTAAGCTTCAGTATTTTATGAAAGCTACTAAAATGTATGTACACCTTTGTATGAGGCAGCACGGAAAACATCACAGTCTACCCCACAAAAATCACCTTAGAAAAGGATCTAGGCAGCATAAAAAAAGGGCTAGCCATAGCCCTAATCATCACTTTAATAAATATGCAAAATAGAACTTTCCAGCTTGCTTCAAAAGATCTTTGTCCTTTACCATCTGCACTGATCTATACCTAATGATGGAGACCTTAGCTGACCCAGTCAATTTATAGACCCAGGATTGTAGAGATTCTTTAACTTCCCTGTTTAGATCACCACACCATTTTATTCAGTTCTTTTACTAAACAGCGCCATGTATTCTGCAAATAATCCAAAGAAATGTTATTAACATGCTTTTA